GTGGATTTAAGTATATAGATAATAGACCATATATACCAGAAAACTATGTATTTAAAAGAATGGAAGATAATCTATTGATTGGGGCTAATGGTGATGTATTTAGAGTTACAGGAAAGGATGATGTTATAAAAAATGAATGAAATTGCATACGAACTTCATAAACCTGCAAGAAAGAATTTCATTAGAAGGTCTTTCAAAGTATTAGGTATAAATGAAACCGTACAAATAGATTTAATTGATATGCAAAACTATGCTAGAGAAAATTCTGGCAATAAATATATTTTAACTTTAATAGATACATTTTCTAAAAAAGCTTATGCTGCTCCACTAAAGAATAAGACAGGGTTAGTGGTTACAGAAGCCATTAAAACCATTCTACCAAAGGGGATTAAAAACATTCAATCTGACAATGGAAAAGAATTTTTTAATCAATATTTTAGCAAACTAATGAAAAAATTAAATATTAATCACTATCACACATTTTCTACAACTAAGGCTGCAATTGTGGAGAGGTTTCAGAGAACTTTAAAGAATTGGTTATATAGGGAATTTAGTGCTCAGGGGAGTTATAAATGGTTGGATTTACTTCCAAAGTTAATTCGAAAATATAATAATAAAGTGCATAGATCTATAGGAATGAAGCCTAACCAAGTAAATGTTAAGAATAGTAAATATGTACATGAGAGGTTGACTTCTAAAGTAGAGCAAGTTAAAAAGCCAAGATATAAGGTAGGTGATAGCGTAAGGATTTCCAAGTATAAACATGTTTTTAGTAAAGGTTATACTCCAAATTGGACAGGGGAACTATTTACAATAGCAGAAGTTAAGAATACAAAGCCTGTGACTTATATCTTGAAAGATGAAAATGGCAATATAATCAGGGGAGGCTTCTATACAGAGGAGTTGTTAAAGACCAAGTATAAGGACATGTATTTGGTAGAGAAGATAATTAGGAAAAAAGGTGATTCGTTGTATGTCAAATGGCTTGGGTTCCCAAGTAGCCAGAACTCATGGATTTCCACTAAGGATGTCCAAGGGAGCACGTCATAAGCCGGGAGCATGCCCGAGTTCACGCACAAACCTCACATGATTTTGAAAATATACATGGGAATGGATGTGGATTTGAAATTTTAATAGAGTTTGAACATTTATATAGGCTTGTATTGGACGAGATCCAGGTCTTTTAAAAAAGTGGCCAAAAAATGAGCCATATTCCAGACGTGATTTTTAGTATTAACAAAAGTAGAAAATTTATATAGGGGTGTATAGGTCGAGAGCTGGATCTTTAAAAAAAGTGGCCAAAAAAAGCTCTTCCATTTTTTTCTCATTTTTCCCCTATAAAAAGTGCCCTAAAAGTGCCTCTAAAACGCCGAAAGTGGGGTCATATTGTCCTATTATATCTACTTACGATTGAATACATTATTGTTCAATCAGTTGGACTGCGAGACGACCTTCGTTTTTAATCGTTGGCCAACGAAAGGATTTGCTTGGTACAGGTCATCTCAACCATTAGATTAAATACCACTCTTCCATTGATACTTTCGAGATCGGTGTGAAACCGCACCATACCTCCCCTTTGATAAATCCATTCAACAGTTTCAATAAATTTCCAACTGATTGAATTGAAAATTCAAGGGGTCATTTTTACTTGAAAGAACACAACAACGACTGTAAACTGAAATAAGTGTATTATTAAATTCTGTGCAATAAACTCCAATTGTTACTCACTTTTAGTTCTCAATAACCTTGGTATTCTAGTATATGAAATAGTATTTAATTGATAAACAAAAGGTAATTCAGTAAATCATAAGCCACTACAAAAGATTCACCTTTTAAGTGCAACACTAGTCACTAGTGTAGTAGTGAGCAAGTAAATTCAGTGTAGAATTAAGACTGGTAAATTGATCTCATTAAAGGTATTACTTTATTGGAAGAACTACAAACAGTGCCAGGGGCGTCCCCTAAGGACCTTTGGGGAATATTTATATTTTGCAGGGTCCACTCATATTTTTCAATAACATCAAGCTTCCACTGCCAAAAAGCTCTGTCTGATATTTTTATTTTCTAGAGTTCTTCCAACCTAGGGGCAACCAACATTTGTAAAGAATTCATTAAAGAGCATTGCAAGGAGTAAATATATTTAAATATAATATTTAAATATATGATAGTCAAAGTCAGAGTTAATTATTTCTTTTTTCTTTACACCTGACATTTTCATCAATTTAAATTAAAATATTGCTTACCAATCAGTGTCTGGGCCCATAACCTGTTGAGGTTAAATCTGTGGACCTTATTTAAATTATAATACTTGACTCTTCAAATAAACAATACTTTATTTTATAACTTTAAAACAGAACACTTACAAACTTGTACAACTCATAAGCACATAAATTGTTTTCTCCAACTAGGAAGTTGCTATGCCAACATAACAACAACTTTTATAAACATATGAAACAGTCTTTAGTTAAACATAGAATAATAATTGAGTTAGTGTATTATATTTTTATATATTTTTATATTGCTTCAACAAATATGTTTTGATCATAGATCAAACATTAAGCCCCTTAGAAGATTTGTCATCCTTGTTGAAAAGCTGAAGGCAATTTTATTGATATTCTTGCCGACTGTAGAGGTTGTGTTTTTTTTTACAATATGTTTCTTGATTGTTATTTCAGTTATTTGTACCGATTCGTCGTATAAAACAACGAATGCGTAGCAGACGCGACAAATAGTCAGCTGATCAGATACCCACAATTCTAACCAAAAGTGGTAGGGGTAGAACTAGTCGCCAGCAACGAGAGTCTCTGTCTGTGTCTGTTCTGTTCCTCTCCCGTCTCCAACGTACCTAGTCGGTGAAACTTTCGTTCGTGCAAATTAAATTCATTTCGCGGTGTTGGTCGGATAAATTTTCATTTTCTCGAAATCGTATAGCCTATATCCCGAAGGGATATATTTGCAACGCGAGTGGAAAATAGAATCAGTTTTGTTTGTCAAACAAGTGTCAAAAAGTTTGTTTTACCGGCCAACGCAATCTGCCATTTGGAAATTTCACGTTCGTCACACGAGTTCAAATCGATCGCGTTTTTTATTAGAAAACCGGCTAGTTACAATTCCTCATCCCTATCCTTCAATTTGTGTCAGTGTTTATTGTGGACGTCCGAAATTGTAAGTAATTTGTGTTATTTATTTGTTAATATTAATTCAGTGAGTCGCACATGGTAAATTTTCCTGTTATATTTTGTTAGTTCATGTCAAATAATCACATGTTTCCAGGTTCGAATTCAATTTGCTGATTTTTATATCCATTTATAGTGTAACAATCTGTATTATTTACTAAGCTGTGATGATCCAATAGTATTAAGAATAAATAGACGAAAATGTTTTTGTAGGGTAATTCAGAGTTTCATAAGATTTTTATAGTGTTGGAATTTTCTCACAGAGTCATTATCGAATTTCATTGTTGAGTATTAAGGTACAATTCATTAACGAGTACCACAGTCAGTATTTAATTTGGGGGAATTAAATTAATATCAAAGGAGGGAGCGGGTAGCTGGTTCGGCTAGATACGGAGGTGTTATCGGAGGCTGTGTCAGTTTGCGTATAGATGAACCGCTAAAGTACCAAATTAGCCATAAAACAATAAGCAACATTCTAATAAATACTACTACGATTAAGCACAATATTGTTTAATCAGTTGGACTGCGAGACTCGACCTTCGTTTTTGAATCGTTGGCCAACGAACTGGATTTGCTTGGTACTGGTCATCTCAACATTAAATTAAATACCACTCTTCCGTTGACACTTTCGAGCAGTGTGAAACCGCACCGTATCTTCCCTTTTGATAAATCCATTCAACATTCTCAAACAAAAACTTCAAATTGATTGTGTCACTCAAGGTCATTTTGTTAAATAAACCACAACCAGCAACTGTAAATTGAAACCAATTGTAGTTCGTTAATTCTGTTTAATAAATCAAATTATTACTCACTTTCTAGTTCTCTATAACCTTGGTAATTCATTGTTAGCAATATTATTTAACTATTGGAATAAAGGTAATTCAGTAAATCATAGGCCACTACAAAAGATTCGCCTTTTAAGTGCAACACTAAATACTAGTGTGGTAATGAGCAGATTAAATTCAGTGTAGAGTTAAGATTAGTAAATATTATTTACAAAAGGTATTGCATTCTGGAAGAACTTCAAACAGTACCAAGGACGTCCCATAAGGATCTCTGGGGAGTATTTTTTTATTTTACAGGGCCCACTCAAATATTTTTTAACACCAAGCTTCCACTGCCAAAGCTCCTGTTTTATATTATTACTTTCCAAGTTCTTCCAACCTAGGGACAACCAAAATTTGCAAAGAATTCATTTTGAGAGCATTGCAAGGAGTAAATATATTTAAATACAATATTTAAATATATAAAAAGTAGAAGTTAGAGAATCTTTTTATTTTTCTTTACATATTTAAAACGTAATTTAACCAAATAAAACTATATAATCATAAAAAATAACTGGTCTCCTAGTTATCTAACCAAACCGTAAAGCACAAATCTTAAAATTACCCTAATATAATAGAAACAATATTTCGTTTACACTAGCGATCAGTGTCAACATACATGAACTAGACACGAAAAACAAGCTTCAAAATCAACAATGGGATGAGAAGTCTACTTATGTTGCATAGTCTACGGTTTTATCTATGAAAAAGTATTTTTACACCGGTATTACACAATATTACAAAATAAATATTCTACAATAGTTATCATGCATAAATAAGCAGCACGAGCAACATCAAGCTTATGATAATATATTTCAGCTTACGTAATTAAAGTAAAACAGCAGATACAAAAAGTTATTCTATTATTCAACAAAAAACCATTTCATATATAGGCTACATCTATTACATATGTCGTCCAGGAGTAAAAAAAAATTGAAATACTTTTGGTTTTGCTACGTCGGCTGCACTTAACGCAACTTCTTAAGCCCCCACACACTACCAGACCAGACCGTCTGGTCTGGCGTCTGGCACTTGTCTTATCGTGTGTGGGGCTGTCTGCAGACCGATTTTCTCGGACCAGACTGTCTGCGTGTCTGATGGTTGAACCCTCAGACCACAGACGGTCTGAGGTTCCCCCACCACTATTTTTGTCTGGTCTGTGAGTGTGTAGCGCTGTCTGTCAGACGGCCGACCATCGTGACAATCTTCATCCATTTGTTGGAGTTCTCACCACGGTCTCTCAATTACGAATTAGGACCGTCTGGTCTGGGAGTGTGTAGAGCCGTCCAAGACGGTCTGGTTGCAGCCAGACGGTCTGGTCTGGAGGTCTGGTCTGGTAGTGTGTGGGGGGCTTTATTGCCGAGTAGCGGCTGCTAGTCCATACGATAATTTGAGGACCATTGCACGATAATTTTTTGTCTACTCAGGATCGATCAGCTGTCCCATCCGCTATGACGTAATTCCCGCGCGTTATAAGCTATGCCACGTTTTTAAAATTATAAGCTATAGAACAAACGAGATTTTATAAGCTGCAGCACATTTGAGCTATACCTTTATAAGTTATGCCACATTTTAAGAAAACCGTTATAAGCTATGCCACATTTCTACGATTATAAGCTATGGAACAATTTACATTTTCCATTATAAGCTATGCCACATTTTCAAGATTATAAGCTATGCAACATGTTCGCAATTATAAGCTATGACATTATAAGCTATGGCATCGTACCCTACCACGGCCGCGATACTACACATCGATACTGCATATAAAAAAAAGCCTGCCTCCTTAAGCAAACAAGAGAATAAAACTGCTCACTCACTCCGTTCACTCCACTCCCAATAACTAACCACTCCACTCCACTAAACCAAACCAACTAAGTCCAAACCAAACAACCAACCACAACGATCGTTTCAGACCAATTATTTCAATTTCAAATATTTTTAAACAAACTGTTTAAATTTTGTTTGTTTATGTTTATGTTTGTTTACATACATATATGAGGGACATACATAAAGGCGGCCGTGGCTATAATGCTTAAGAAGAGAATGAGATAAGAAAAAGAAACGAGAAAGTAGGAGATCAAGAAAAATCGTGTGAGTTAACTTAAACTTAGGCTACTCACTCACACTCACAGTTAACTCGTATCTTTGCAGGTTTTGTTTTGGGCCAGTGAATTTGGCGAACGGAAATATAATAAGATCTGATCCTGATTCCTGATCTGAGGAAGAGGAACCGTTCGACCAAGTAATCAAGTGATCAAGTTAATCGACTGTTCAGAGGGACTCAAACATTCAACTAGGCCTATTAATTTACCTGAGCATTCAGCTTATCTTTGTTTCCCTACATACCGTAGCCTATTTCTAATGAAAGAAAGCCACAGGTAAGTTGAGTAGTCTTGTACAATGTAGGCCTAGGCCTAACTTAGTTAAAGTTAACTTAAAGCGTAGGCCTAGTTAAATTTAAATAAGCCTAATTGGTTAGTAAAGAACTGATATTTTTTATAGAATTTAATTTTGAAACTGGCCAATTAAGTCATAGCAGAGGGCAATTTTTTAAATTTCAAGTTTATTTTACTCTCACTAAACTTAAGCCTAGGCCTAATTTTCGGGATGAACTAAGCAACATATCCCTATCCTAAAATTTTATTGGTAATTTACTTTAACTTCCAACTAAGCACAATTACGTGTACTTAACTTAGGCCTACCTTGGTCCCGATGTTACACAGCAGAATTTAGGCTAGGCCTACCTAGCCTATCTTACTTTATGCTAGGGTGTAACCACAGACAATAGACCATTATTGTAGGCTATACCATTATTGGTATTTCTTTTGTCTATGGCCTAACTTTTGGGTATCTATCTTATTTTCTTTTTTAAGTCAAATCACAAAGCTAAGTAGCCTAAATCCATTTCATGCTGGGAAATTAAAAGTTGAGAATACAAACCAAGCTTCAATGATAACTTGGTAAGTTAGGCCTAGGTCTATTTAGTCTGATAGAGTTAAATTGACAAAGCAACAAGGGGTAATAGGTAGCAATTATTTAAGTTAAGTTAATAGGTACCAGTACTTAAAGAGAAGAAGCAAAGACAAGAGCATAAGTTTTACCTTATTGGATTTCAGCCCACTCATTGCATTTAAGGGGGGGGGGGGGGTTGGCTCCTAAAACACCAACTTCTAAAACACATAAAATACCTCCTAAAACACCAACTCCAAACAAGTCTAAGCAGGATTCCTGCAAAGTCTGCAACAAAATAATTTTAGATGACAAAAGCAGCTCCATAGCTTGCGACATTTGTGATGCTTGGGTACATTCTGACATAAGTTAGCTTGTAGCCGTTTGAAAAAATTATTTTTAGGCTAATTTCTAGCAAAGATTCCTATGTGTGTCTAGTTTGTATTAGGTTACACAAGAAAGGTAACAATCCACTTCCTTATGAGGTAATAAAAAATGAGTAGCCTAAGAAAGCTTGTGACTTGGCTGAGTCACTCTTGAAGGAAAAGAGGGAACTTGAGGAACAGCTAAATCTGAAAGAAACTAAATTTTTTGAGCTCAGTGACAATCTCTTGAATTCTAAACCAAGTGAAAATAGCTGGTCGGATATGGTAAGTAGGAGGAAGGGATGTAGGGAACCGGCTGTGGCTGCTCCTGGTCACTCTCTGACTACCCCTAATTCATTTGAGGTGTGGGCGGGGACTGCAGGGCCGATTTACCGAATAGGCAAGGTAGGCACGTGCCTAGGGCGCGAGGCAATTGGCTTTTTTTGGGGGCGCCAAAAAATTGGAAAAAAGAAAAAAATTGTGGCCGTTTTTGCATGCGATCGCGGTAAACTGATAATCCCTTGCGGCCGTGAAGACACCTTAACAGTCTCCCACAATTGCGGCAAGATGTTAATTATTTACCGCGGTTGTATATACGTCATCATCGTCCGTCTCCCGCGATCGCGTCAAAGTTCTGACTATTTCCAGCGGATGTGTGGACATGATTATCGTCTTCCTTGATCGCGGCAATATATGAACACATCCCGCGGTCGTGATGAGATTATCACCGTCTACCGCGAATGAGGCAAAATTGTAATCTTTTCCCGGGGTCGTGTGGACATTATCATCTTCTTGCGTGATCACGATAAAATTCTTATAATCCCTCACAGCCGTGAAGACATCATCGCCTCCCATGGTCGTGAGGCATTGTCATCCTCTCCCGCCATTGCGGCAAATGGTAATCATCTCCCGCGGTTGTTTGGAGATCATCATCGTCTTTCACGAATGAGGCAAATTTCTGATTTTTCCCGTGGTTGAGTGGACATTATCATCGTCTTACGCGATTGCGGTAAAATTCTGATCATCCCTCGCAGCCGTGTAGAGTAGACATCATTATTGTAACTCCCGCGATCCTGTAGACATCGCAATAGTCCCCCGATGTCGTGAAGACATCATATAATCGTCTCCCTCGGTCGTGAAGACATCGTAATCATCTCCCGCGATCGTGAAGACATCGTAATCGTCTCCGCGCGATCGTGAAGACATCGTAATCGTCTCCCGCGGTCGTGAAGACATCGTAATCGTCTCCCGCTGTCGTGATTCATCGTAATCGTCTCCCGCTGTCGTGAAGACATCGTGATTGTCTCCCGCGATTACGGCAAAATGTTAATAATATCCCGCAGTTATGTGGATATCATTATCGTCCTCCGCGATCGTGGCAAATTTCTGACTGTTTTCCGTGGTTTTGTGGACCATGATAATATCCCGCGGTCATTTAGTCATTATCATAGTCTCGCGCGATCGCGGTAAAATCATGATCATATCCCATGGTCGTTTAGACATTATCATCGTATCATGCGATCGCGGCAATATTTGATTATCCTCTGTGGATCTAATTATCGTATTGCGCGATCGCGGTAAAATCATGATCATATCCCGCGGTCGTTTAGATATTATTATCATCTCATGCGATCGCGGCATCATCCCTCGAGGCCTTGTGGAGACATATTATTGCCTCCCGTCTCCCGTGGTCACGGAAACGTCACTATTGTAAATTGACAATTCCAGGTAGAAAATTAACACATAATTCCTGGTTCAAAAAATTCACGCTTAGTTTCCGGATTTCCCGGTTGGTGGTCACCCTGTTATATATTGCAAAGGGGCGCTACTATTAGTTGTGCCTAGGGCGCTGACGTGGTCAAAAACGGGCCTGGCGGGGAGGGGTCGCAGACGGCTGCAGGAGCACACAACAAAAAGTCTCCAACTAGTGTTATGCCTAAAAAGCGTGTGGCCCTAGTTAAGAAGCCTACTAAACTTATTAGTAGGCAAAAAAAGCCACGGTTAGTAATTGTTGGAGACAGTCATGCGAGACACTGTGGGGAAGAGTTGAGACACATGGGCTGCAAAGGGGGGTGCGGTAGTCAAGCTCAGGCTATCGTGCTGCGTTAGTAGGCAAAAAAAGCCACGGTTAGTAATTGTTGGAGACAGTCATGCGAGACACTGTGGGGAAGAGTTGAGACACATGGGCTGCAAAGGGGGGTGCGGTAGTCAAGCTCAGGCTATCGTGCTGCTCGGAGCACCCATGGCCGCGGTGTTGGTTTCAGCTAAAAAGGAGTTTAAGGATATGACACCGAAGGACACCTGTGTTGTGGTTGGTGGAACTAACAATGTAATGGCTCAGTCCATTAATAATGTAAAACAGGTGTTTGCTGAAATAGAACAAACTCTGATCCAACCAAAAAACCTGATCCTTGTTGAAATACCCACCTTGATATCAAAAACTGTCCCAAATGAAAATATAAAGAAACAAAATACCCTGATTAGAGAATTTTGTGTCAGGAACAAGGTAGCCTACCTAAGCCTAAACTCAATGATTGATCGCAATTGCTACACAAAAAGCGGAATGCACCTAAATAAGCTTGGGACAGAAACTATGTGCAGTATAATCTAGCCTACCTGACTTCAATCGATTTGAATTTGAAACCAAAAACTCTAATGAGGAAGCCTGATTTACCTAAGCCTTCTGAAATTACAAAAAACTTACAATCTATTGCTGAAACCTCTCCAATCACAAATGACTCACAATTGACAGCCAACACTTCTGAAATTAAAAAAATCTCACAATTGGCAACCGAAACCTCTAAAATCATAACAAAAAACTTGCAACCGGCAACTGAAACAGAAAACACTTTGATCATAAGAACAGAATAAGGTTCACACAGAAAAACAATTTTAATATAACTCATTTGAATGTAAGGGGAATCACAAATAAAATTGAACAAATCGAACATTTTTTAGAATCAGAAAACCCAGATTTATTTCTTATTAATGAACATGGTCTAGACCAAAATAGCTTATCAGAATTAAGAATAAAAAATTTGAATTTATTGCTGGTTATGGCAGAGAATATAAAAACATGGGTGGTTGTAGCAATTTTCAAAAATAAAAATTTCATAAAACTCGATAACCTTAAGTCCACAGACATAGGCATAAAATTTTTAAAAGAAACAATTTTTGAGTGTGCTGAAATAAGTTTTTCTGTGAGAAATAAACAGTTTGTAGTAAGTAGCTTCCATGTACAGGTCTCCATACAGCAGCAACCTTGATGAATACTTTAGTAAATTAAATGAATAACTACTTAAACTGAACGTTAAGAATAAATATAGGCCTATAGTACTGAAATAGGCTCAGATTTCAATATCGACTTGATCAAAGATGACAACACCTACCACAGATTTGCAACGCTGATTAAAAGTTTTGATATGAAACCAAACATTTTGGAACCAACTAGAATTAACGACACAACCAGCACATGCATAGAAAATTTTTTAACCAACTTTGAAATATTATCAGCAGCAGTAAAAGAACCCCATATTTCAGACCACTGTGCTATCTCAATAGAAATAGGCCTACCTGAAATTATCTCAAACCGAAATAATATCTCAAACCAAAATAAAACCTTAGAAAAAAGAATAATTACCAATGAAAATCTTCATGAACTTAAAATGCTACAGTCAGAGGACTGGAACTCAGTATATGATGCTCCTGATATTAATACCAAATATAATAGCTTTATAGAAACATTCAAATATTATTTTGATATCAGCTGCCCGAATAAAAAAACAAAACTTAATCTCAGTCGCAAAGGAAAAAACAAATGGATTGAACAATGAGATAATAGCTGCAAAGGAAAAATGTTCCAACAATACTCTGTATGGAGGCTGACAGGAATGGTATCTGACAAAGAATTATACCTAAAGCTTTAAAGATAAATATAAAAACAAAATACAGGAAAGTAAAATAAAATGGGCACACAATTGCATATCCAGCTCAAAAAATAAATCTATAGACTCTTGGAAGATTATAAACAGCATTAGGCCAAAAGAAAATTCAGACTCTAATAA